GAAGGGTTGGCGCAAAAAAAGGAAAAGAAAAAAAAAAAAAGAAAAAATTGGGAAGGGTGTATACAAGGGAGGTTTCTTTTCTCCATACCTTTTCAACCTGTATGCTGAACAGATTATCCAGGAGGCTGGGCTGCATGAGGAGAGGTTTGGCATCAGTATTGGAGGAAGATTCATCAACAATCTGTGTAATGCAGATGAGATGACACAACCCTGCTTGCAGAAACTGAGGAGGACCTAAAGTGCTTGCTACAGAAGATCAAGAACTGCAGCCTTCAATATTGATTGAGCTTCAATATAAAAACAACAACAACAACAAAAAAATCAAAAAACAACTCACCACTGGGCCAATTGGCAGCGTCAGGATGGATGGTGAAGAGATTGACATTGTTAACAGCTTTAGCTTGCAATCAACACTCATGGCACCAGCAGCGAGGAAATTAAAAGATGTATTGCGATGGGAAAGTCTGCTGTTAGGGACCTCTCCAAAGTACTGAAGAGCACTGGTGTCACTCTGCAGCCTAAGGTTTGCCTGATACAAGCCATGGTCTTAGCAATCACTTGCTATGCATCAGAGAGTTGGACAATTACTAGGGATAATAGAAGGAGAATTGATGCCTTTGAGCTGTGATGTTAGAGAAGAGTATTGCATAAACCATGGACTGCTAAGAAAATGAACAGGTTCATCCTAAAAAGTGTTAAACCAGGCTGCTTCTTGAAGGCAAGGATTCTGAAGCTTTATCTGACATACTTTGGACATGTTGTAACGAGGGACAAGTTCTTGGAGACGAACGTCATGCTTGGGACAGTGGAGGGACAGTGCGGGACAGTAAGACCCTCGATGAGGTGAACTGATTTAGCGAATGGGGTAATCAGGATGGGTGTGTCGGGACAGTGAGATTGGCACAGGATAGAGCAGGGTTTAGAGCTATTGTATATAGGGCTGCTATGTGTCGCAGGTGACTCGACAGCACATAACAACAACAACAACAACAACAACAACAACAATGCTAATCAAGATGTGTTTTCCTTTTATCAACATCTGTATTCTACATTTGTTTACTGTGTCTGTTCTTTAGTCTACTAATGACCTGAATTCTGGGCCTTGACTCTCATTTCTTCCTTAATCCCCACCCATTTTCTTATTACTTAACCCTGGATTACTATTATCTGAACATCACCATTAATAATTTTCTGTCATTTTTGTCATGTAGAAACTTAAATTTGCATATTTAGTAAAAAGAATATAATAATAATCACAAACTACTAAAGAAAGTGTTAAGGAGGTGAAATATTTATTTTTTTCTTAATGTTAGTAACTTGAAAGTTTATATCAAGAATCTTAAAAAAAGTACACATAACATCTTACATAATAATTATAGTTCCAGGAATTTATTCAAAAAAGTATTCCTAATGTTGAAAAAGTTCTTCTTTGCCCAGAGGCAAATTTATAAATAAGAGTTTAATCTTATTTTACATCCATTCTATAAAACATTATATACAGTTCTTAAAAATAGTGTTTATAAAGTTTTTACAAAGCATGTAATATTATTGTGAAAATGCCAAATTGAAGATATAGATCATTCCAAATATGCAAAGTGACTGTGTACTATGGATTGAATTGTGTTCCATAAAAACATATATCATCAGGTTTGGCGCAGCAAAGTGTTATGTAATTATCCTCCACTTTATGATCTGGTATGTATTGTAAATCTTCACATTTATGGTGCTTATGAGGGTAGAAGTAGAAGCAGTTTTGCTAAAGAGACAGGATATACAGTATTAGTGGTATCATGAGCCAATCTCTTTTACTGTATAAAAAATATTAGAAGAGCAAGCAGAGATCAAAGGGATGTCCTGCTACCAAAACAGCAGAGTGGAGTGCATCCTCGTGATCAGGGTCCCTGCACTTGGAAAATCTTAAACTTAAAGGTAGATTGATTACAAGACCTTCCCCCAAACACCACAGAGAAAGAAAGCCTATCACTGGAGCTGGTACTAAGACTTCTAGCCACATAACTGTGAGAGAACAAATTTCTGTTTGCTAAAGCGAAACACTTGTGGTATTTCTATTATAGTAACATCAGAAAATGAATAATCTTCTCTCATATAATTTATAGTCTGGGAACTGACTCAGTTCTCGGTTCCCATTAAATGCCAGTGGGAGAAAGAGTGATAACAAAGACACCATTAATATTATTTTATTTATCTAAAATTTATTTTAAATGAATATGTATAAATTCAGAACATCCAAAAGACAATTATAAAATAACATCCGCCAAATTATCATACAAATGAGATATGTATGTGAAACTATATCTAACATTGTTAGTTATGTCAATGTAAATTACTGACACATGGAGGATTGACTGCATGCATTTAACTCTACTTTATCTTAAAATTCCACTGGTTCCACAAATTAATAAGCTCATTAAATGTCTAAAGGATAGATGATTCTTTTTTTAAAATTCCTTACAGTATTCAGTAAAGAATAGGGTTTTTTTAAGAAAAAAATTGAGGTGTGCCAAATTCTTATTTAATGAATGAATACAGCATGGGAGAAAAAAAATGCTTAAAATTTTGTGGCTGACAGGTATTAAAATAGAACAGTGTGAGAATGTGTACCTATACAGATGGATGCAGGAAGCTATCTGGAAATAGCATCTTTCCATTGTAACATAACATATATTGCTTTTCTTAAATCTGGATATATTTTCTTTCTTGCAGGAGCATCTGCTTCTCCATTGAAGATACTCTGCACCCCTGAAGGAATAAGACTTCAGTGTTTCATGAAATATTTTACAGAAGAGATGAAAGTGAACTGGTATCACAAGTAAGTGAAACATCAGGTGACTGTGTTTGTGCCATAGACAAGGGCAGTACACAGAATGATTGCTTGGGAACATATGGTTCCACACCAGATCCTCCTGAGTATCCTCTCAAAACTCGAGATTTCAAGAAATATTATAATCCTTTGGCTCTGATGGTGATGTGTCATTATCACCATGGGAAGAATATAGGAGAAAAACAGGGAGCAACAGACACATTTCTTTCACATTGTGATGTTCCAGCTCTACTGGTAACACATCTTATTTGGAATTTAGAATTTGCATAGTTTGAAACCTATTAAGATTACAATCAAAAGATCAAAAGTTCAAAGCCAGAAGTCAGAAAGATAGCAGTCTCTTCACACAAAGATTTGCAATGTTGGATATCCAGTGGAGCTTCACTGGATTTAAAAACCATCCCATGGCTGTGGTGTGGATTTTGGTAATGAAAAAATATTGTGAAATTGTGCTCCAAATTTCCAGTCTGCTGATTTTTTTGCTTAACTTGATTACAAAGGAAATGACCCAGACTAACACAATACTTAAAAGTAGAGAGAAAACAAGATCAACCTAAATAAACAGCAAGATTTCTCGTTTGTATTGATTGCTAGGCTGGTCCTATACATGGGTAACTATCACTTGTAGAGCAAATGCCAGACTTTATGTGAATGAAGTGTGTAGAACCTAAGGTCTCAGACAAATCATGCCCTTTCCAAGCACATGATTATCATCTAATTTCCCATCATCGTCACACATTTATGTCTCTTAACAACTAACCTGAGACAACACACTGGAATTTAAGAGTTCTTAGACAGAACAAGTTATTTGCTATGCATCTGAGAGCTAGCTAATGAAGACAGATGACAGAAGAAAACAAAGAATGAATGCCTTTGAACTGTGGTATTGGAGACAAGTGATGAAGATCCCATGGACTGTCAAAAGAATAAACACATATGTCTTGGAGAAGGTGCAGCCAGAGAGCTCCTTGGAAGCAAAGATGATGAAGCTTTATCTCACGTTCTTTGGGTGTGTTACTAGAAGAGGTTATTCCTTGGAGAGGGATATCATGCTTGGGAAAGTGGTGGGTGGCAAAGGAGAGGAAGACCCTTAATCAGGTGGGTTGACCTGTGACTGAAGCAATGTATTTGAGTGTGTCAAATATTGTGAGGATGGCAGAGAATAGAGCACTGTTTATATCAGGTTCACTTAGAGTTGTTAGGATTTGTACTTGACTCAATGGAACCTAACAACAATAATAACAGAGGGAAAACACCAGAGAAAATAGGATTTACTTTAGTATTCTCATACTCTTAGGATATAACTTCAGAATAAAAATAGATTTCAGGGGGTAGGTGGACCAGAGACCACATTTTTTTGTCTATTTTTACCAAAAAGCACAAGGAGATTAAAACAATGTGAGAAGACATAAACAGATACACAGAACAGAGTTTTCTCTGCTGGAAATAGTACCTTTTTCATTATAATATAACATTTGTACGGTAGATTTTCAGTGATAAATGCATATTAAAAATCATATATTCCTCAGCATATGATATTCCATAGCATACATGCCATATCTTTAGAAAAAATATTTCCCTAATTAATATTTCTGAAAGAAAAATCTGATTATGACCATTTTTAAGAATGTTATTTTGTCTAGATGAATATCTTTATGAGTAAATGAAAATAATATAAGGCTTCTCTTTTTGCTATTTAATTTTTACATGCTATGCTTTTAATTTTTACATACTATGATTTTGAAATTGGATGTGTTAAGAAACATAATATACTAAGAACTGGAATTTTAGCACATTTTTATTTAGAATCCCTGTATTTTTAATGGTACAGAATTTAGTATCAGTTGAAATCAATATAGATTCTGTACTAAAGAACTTGATAGAAATGTGTATTAAAACCAGAGTCTTTTTATAAGGAATTCCAAAAAGAAGGATTTCAAAGACTGAAACTCTGGTGTAGTTTTGTAATATAATTGTTTGTCAAGATTTACCCTTTGGAACAATGTGTAAATCTATGTTCCTAGCTGAATCAAGTCTTCCCCTCTTTTAGGAGAATTAATCACCCCTTCTCTGAACTTCCTTGTTATATATAGCACACTGCCTTCTAGTAAGTTGTATGCAGTGGTGATATATGCTCTATTTTCAGTTGTAAACATGCTCATCCCTTGGGAGAGGGTGTCTCTCCTTCATCTTTATCTTTCTGATATCTGCTGAAGTGCCTGGCACACAACGAGCAGCGTGCTTTCTCTTGCTTGCTGAAACACAGAGATTACAAACACACACCTTTTACATATACACAGACACACATGTATGTACCTAGATACATTTCAGGATAACGTTAATAAGCAGCTATTTTCTGTTAAACATTTTGTCTTTAAATTTTTGTTTTATGTTGATTTGTTCACAAAGTTTGTATATATTGTGTTTCACACTATTCTTCATTCACATTGTACTTCATACAATCATTCCCATGTATTTTGTTTTATAAGATTAATCACCATTGGACAATACCCATCACTACCGTGTATTTTAAGGTTCCTGCTGGATCTTTCCCATTTCTTTATCTCTTCCCACCATCAAAAAAATTGGTCAAAATTGTGTTGTTTTGTTATACTTAACTATTACACAATCCTTAGTTATCTAATAATATCCACATGTTACAGATATAGAAACCGAGGTTTAGTGAGAGGAACTGTAATCTTCAAAGTCACACCCATGTAAGGAAGATCATTTAAATGCTGGTTAGTCTGACTGTATCCATCCCTTTACTGAAGGAACATCAAATGTAGTAGGTCAGATTGATTACAGACAGATAAGAAAGCAGACAGTGAAGGGTACAGGTCAGATAAAAAAATCACCTCCAAAAAGCAAAGCTCATAACATTGCAAATTCCCTTAGACCCATAAAAGGGGTATTAATTCTGTTTTCTCTTTCTAAAATATAATTTGTTTTAGAATAATAGGCTTTTACTTAACATTATTGCAAGAAAATATAGCTTTTAGTTATATTTGGCTGTGAAGCAATATGAATCTATATTTTAAACAGCATTTTAGCCTTTTTTGTAACCCTTAGGACTTAAGCTACCCAACAAATTTTTAGCTCCTCCAATTTCTTGGGGAGTAGCGATCCTTTCTGAAATATATGCTGCTGTCTGGCAGGGGGAGCTGTGTAACGGCTTGAACATGAAGAAGGAGGTGTTACTCCATCCAACCTTACCATTAGGGTCCTCCCGGGCCATATGTCCCCCATATAATTGAACAAAATCTCTATATCCTTCAGACTTTTTCTTTTTTACTGTTTTTATCATGCTTTTTAATTTCTTTTCACATACATTATCAGGAGAAAAAAAATCAAGAGAGAAAGATGATTTTACTAGACAACAGCTGGAGAACTATAAAATAATATCAACATTTCTTGAAATATTATCTTTCTTCTTAGGCGAAATAGCCTTTCTAACAGAATTCTGTGATGCCTAAGGAATGTAAGTGATAAAGGCTTAAACTATGGACACTGGACTGTTTTGTGTTAATGGGTGACACTGAATCAATAGAGTATGATGAGAATTTTGTGAAATGCGAACGTAAGCAAGGACAATTGTTCTTTGGTTAAAAATGCTGAGTAATATATCACAGCATGTAGAAAGTGTCACAGTGAAGGAAGGGTTAGAAACCTATTCAAAATGAGTTAGAAGCATACAGAGTGGAACTCAGCAAAAATGTTCCTCAGGAAAAGGATTTTGTTGTCTTGTTCAAAGGTGAAATTAATATGTCATCTAGAAACGGCTAATCTCAAGTTGTTAAAGTACTGACAATTTAGAATTTAGAAGTAAATTAACCACTGAATATATTTCACGGTACTTTTATAGAAGCAGAGAAAAAGCATGTTTTCATCTCAGAATGGACATTTTACTTTAACTCAGGAAATCTCACACATTAAAATTCAACTGTACATTTTCTCCCTGAAATCTTAATGAACTTAAAAACAGTTCTATTGAGGAATAAGTTTAAAATTTTTATTTATTTATTTATGTATGTATGTATGTATTTATTTATTTATTGGTATAAAAAAAATACACAAGAGACTTTATTCTTCCCAATTCGAGGCAGGTCATCCAGGGGTGGCAGGAGGCAGGAGGTGGCTGTGGAGCAGGGTTGTAGAGGTGGGAGCAACCCGACTTGCTAGAGATGAGAGGGATCCTCAGGCCCACGATGACCGAGTCCCCACGCAGTGACATCTTAGAGATGTAGCGGTCATTGTTGATGGGCTTGGACTTCTTCTTGTCCTTACCACGCTTGAGGACCTCGGTCCACATCCCCTCCACGTTCTCCAGAACTACATTGCAGTGCTTGTCGAAGGCCTTCTCGCGGTCCAGGAGCTTCACATTGCAACAGTTGATGAGCACTTGAGTGTTGTTCTTGACCCACTGTGTGAGCGCGGAGAGCTGGCCTGTGTTAAACTCCTCCTCTTCTCGCTTCTGCCCCTCCTCTGAGGTCATCTCACTCCTGGGCTTGTTGAGGAGGCTCATGGTGCTGGCTGCGTTCTTGGATTACTCAATTATTTTTTTTTTATACTGTTTTGCTTACAATATTTGTATACATGATGTTTTACATTACTGTTCATTCAGATTGTTTCATACAGTTATTCCATTCATGATGTGTTAGGAAATTAATCACCATTGGACTATGCCCACCTTTTCTAAGTCTTTCAGGTCCCTGCCAGATTTTCCCTACTTCCTTTACTCCTTACTTCTACCCACCAAATTGTGCAGCTCTATGATTTTGCCCTTATGCGTCCTCACCTCTCTTCTCTCATGCCTTTCCCCCTTGGGTCCCCATACATGTTTTACTGATTAATCTTACATTTTTACAATAATGATCTTACGCAGAATTGTCCTTATGAGACTGAGTAAGTTCATGCAACATGATGCTCTTCAGTCTCTCCTGTTATGTAGTAATTTTAGAGATCATTGCTCCTGAGTGCTGCATAATATTGCTTTGTGTGAATGTACCACAATTTGCCAATCCATTTGGTTGTGATTGGACATTTGGGCATTCTATTTTCTTCTGATTGTGAATAATGCGGCTATGAACATTGGTGTACAGATCTTCATTCTTGTCTCAGTTCTAATTTCCTTGGGGTATAGCTGGAATAGTGGAATAGCTGGATCATACAGAGTTACTATGTTCAACTTTTTGAGGAAATGCCAAACTACCTTTCAGAGTGGTTGTACCATTTTACAATCCCATCTACAGTGCATGAGAATTCCCAACTTTTGACATCCTCTCCAACATTTCTTGTTTGTTACCCTGCTAAACTTTACCACTGCAACTGGGATCAGATGGTATCTCACTGTGGTTTTGATTTGCATCTCTCTTTTTGCCAGTGATTTTAAACACTTTTTCACGTGTCTTTTGGCCATCTGAATGTCTTTCTCTGAGATAGGCCTTTCATGTCTTTTGCTTATTTCGTAAATAGGTTATATCTTTTTCTTCTGGAGTCCCAGTTGTTGTTGTTATGTACCATCATGTTGCCTGTGATCAATAGTGACCCTATGTACAGCAGCTCTGAACCCTGCCTTGTCCTGAGCCAGTATCACTGATTCTGACACACCATCCCCCATTGTACCAATTATTTTATCAATGCATCTTATCTGGAGTGTTCCTCTTCTGCACTGTTGCTCCATACTTCCAAGTATGATATCCTTCTCCGAATATCAGTCTCTCTTGGTCATGTGCCCAATATATATGAGCTGGAGCTTCAAAATCCTAGCCTCCAAGCAGAATCTTGGTTTCACTCCCTCCAAGATGTATCTATTTGTTTTCTTGACAGGACATGGTATGTTCAAGACTCTTCCCCAGCATCACAATTTGAAGGCATCAATTCTTCTATCATCCAGCTCTCTGAAGCATATCAAGTAATTGCAAAGACCATGGCCTCTATTAGGTACACCTTAGTCCCTAGACTGACATTGTTGTTTTTCAACACTCTGAAGAGGTCCCTGACAGCAGATTCAATTTGTATTTTGATTTCCTGACTGCTGGTGCCAAGAATGTTGATTGTGGAGTCGAGCAAGTTGTTAACACCCTGTCTCTTCTCTATCATGGTGCTACCAATTGGTCCCATGGTGAGAATATTTGTCTTCTTGATGTTGAGCTTCAGTCTGTTTTGAAGACTACAGTCCTTGACCTTCTTCAGCAAATGCTTTAGATCTTCAGTTTCAGCAATCAAGGTCATATCACCTGCATAAAGTACGTTATGATGAGTCCTTCTCCAATCTTGATGCCACATTCCTCTTTATAAAGCCTTATTTCCTGAATGATCTGTTCTGCATATAGATTTTCTCACTATAGTGAAAAGTCCATTTCCTATAGGTTTTTAAGTTCATCTAACTGTAGCTTTTCATAATACTCCAATATTATACATTTAATTTCATCTTGTTCTGTTGTGATATCACCTCTACCATTACTTAATCAAGTCACTGTGTCTTTTTTTTGTTAAGTTTACCATTGGTTTGTCAATTTTATTGACCCTTTTGAAAATCTAGCTCCTAGTTTCAATTGGTTTTGTTTTCTTTCTTACTGATTTCAGATCTTGTTCTTATAATTTCCTGGCTTCTATAGTCTGTGGGTTTAAATTGTTGTTCTTTTTCTATTTGATGAAGATGTTGCATTTGATGATTAATTTTGCTTCTTTCTTTGTTTTTTATGTGCTTGTCTATTGCTATGAATTGCCCCCTTAGGACTGCCTTAGTAGCTTCCTAGAGCTTTTGTATGTTCAATTTTCATTATCATTTGTTTCATGGAACTTTTTGTATTTCATTATTTATTCTATAAACAAATCATGTCTTTACAGGGTGTTTTCAGCTTCCACATGGGTGGTTTTATAAGCTTTATCCTCTTATGGTTAATTTCTAGTTTTAAGGAATTGTGGTTTGATAATTTATATTAATTCACCATTGTTTAATTTGCTGAGGGTTGCTTTGTGTTCTACTATGTGATAGATTCTGGAAAATGGACCAAGTGCATTTGAGAAAAAAAGTGAATTTAGTTTTAGTTGGGTACAGTCCATGGAATATATCCATAGGTTGAACTGGCATAATGTATAGTTTAAATCTTCTGTATTTTTGTTAAGTTTCTTTTAGATTGACCTGTCCTTTGGTGAGAGTGGTGTGCTAAGGTCTCCTAGCACTATTATGGTGCTATCTATTTCTTTCTTCAATTCTTTTAACAGTTGTTTCATGCATTTTGCAAGTCTATCATTTAGTGCATAGATGTTGCAAGATTATGTCATCTTAATACACTGTGTTTTTAATTATTGTGTAGTACCTGTTCTTATCTTTCTTGGTGGTTTTCTTCCTAAAAGTTTATTTTATCAAAGATTAATATTGCCACTTTTGATTTTCTGTGTATGCCATTTGCTTGATATATTTTTTTCCTGAACACCGATTTTGAGTCTATCTTTCTCTTTATTTCTTATATGTGTCTCTGTATACAACATATTGATAGACTTTATTTTTTAATTAATTTTGCTACTCTTTTTATTTTGCTTGGTACATTGTCATTTGCTTGTCAATTCTCATTAAATGTGATTATTGACAGGCTAGACTTTGTTGTTGACATTTGGATGTGTTTCTTTTTTGTTGTTGTTTCTGGTTATTATGGTCTGTCCACTTTGCTTTGAGGTCTCTGTGTGAAAAACTTCCCTTGGTTTTGTTTTCACAAATTTTGTAAGTTCCTTTTTTTCTGTAAAGGATGTAATTTCTCTTTTCTGCTTGATGGAGAACTTTGCAGGGTATATGATCCTTGATTGCCAATTGTTTCCTTTCAACTTTCTGTACAAGCCATCCTGTTTCCTTTTTGGTCGCATGGTTCACACTAAGAAATCAGGACTTAATCTAGTTGCTTTGCCTTTGTAGGTGGCTTTTTGTTTTTCTCGTGCTTCTTTCAATGTTCTATCCATTCTTTCTATTTTGGAGCATTTAACTATGACATGTCTTGATGTTTTTCTCTTTGGGTCTAGTCTATTTGGTGTTTACTGAGCTTCTTCAATGTGGATATTCTAATTCTTCTAGTACTTCTTCCATAATTTTTTTCAGTGATTTCTCTGCCTCTCTTATATTCTGGAATTAAAATGATATATGTATGTTGTTCCTTTTGATGTCATCCACATGATTCTAATATTTTCTTCATTTTCTTTATGTCTCATCTCTGATTTTTCTTCTAGTATGTCCCCTCTCCCCAATTCTACAACCCTTCTTTGACTATGGAGTGGTCGAGTGGTGTAAGACTAAGTACAGATTCTGTCTGGTGGGGGGGGTGGGGGAAGTCAGGTTAGGTTCAGTCAGCTCTCTTTCATGCAGCTCAAAGTGCCTGCTGAGAAAACTGAGAAAGTTATTCCCCTGATTGTAGTTCTTTGTCCCAAACTTTCTTGTCCTCTTTGGCACCTGGGATGGCCTCACAGACATAGAGGAAGGATCCTTAAATGGAAGGACCTTTCCACAGGGAAGTTTCAATTCCTTCTTTCTCCCTTATACACCTAAAGTGCTGGTTCTGGGGAAGAACATCTCACTTGATGGCTTTTTATCTCCTGAAGCTTAATGTCTTCCCTTGTCTCTGGAGTGGCACTAGATAAGAGGCACCAACTTAAGCATGCCAGGGGTTCTCAAGTCAGATATCCTTCTTGCTCAAAGCTGAGAAAGTATTTTTGAGATATAATTTATATTCAATAAGCTACTTGCACAAGAGTAATACAATTTGATAATTTCTGAATACACCTGTGAAATAATCATCCAATGAAGACAGTGAACTGATCTATCATCCACGAATGTTTCTCAAGCCTCTCAGTAATGCCTCTTAACACAGACCCACAGAAATATCCAGGCAATCATTAATTATCTCTGTCACCCTATATTATTGTGCCGTTTTCGATAGCTTTCTAGACATGGACTCATATAGTGTGTACTTTTTATTTTTTAAAAAGACAACTTCTCTCTCACAGCATACTTTTTTAAAATTCTTTTTAAATTATTATTATTTTGTGTGTGTACTGTCAAATCGGATCTGTCTGATACAGGAGGAGATGGTCCCTCCTTCTCCAGCAGAGCATCTGGTGGATTTGAACTGTGTTCCTCTGGGATTGCAGTGCAGCTTCTTGCCACTAGAACTCCCTACAGCATACATTTTTAAAAAAATATTAAATCCATCTTATTGCACAAACCAGTAGTCCATTCCATTTCATAGCAGAAGAGTATTTCATTGTATGAAGAAACTATAATTTGTTTATAACTTGCCTTTTGTTGGTTATTTATGTGGGTCCATTTTTTCTCTTTACAAACAAAAGTGCTTGGAGATTCATGTGTAAGACTTTGAATGTATATGTGCTGTCAGTTCTTAAGTTAATAATCAATGAGTGCAATGGCTGGTACATATGGCAGGTGTAAATTTAACTTTTGAAGACACTTCCAAACTGTTTTCTGTTTCACATTCACACCAGCAATGTGTAAAAATTTCCAGTTCCTCCAAATTC